GGGTTGGATGACCCGACACATACACTACACACGCAGACATCAACAACACAACTGCCGAGATATAGCGTATAAACACCATAGTAAGAGCACAGGGATGTATGGGCACCGTTAGTATCAATCCCTGTCAATACACCACAATCCGCATATATGGGCACCGATAGCTATAATTTATACTTAATTGTGTATTGAAACCAATAGAACCGGTATTCCCCACAATACGTACGGTTAGAGTATATACAGAATATTCTGCTACTTATCTATTGTTTATCGGAATATTTAGTATAAGATTTTTAAATCATATGTAACTATAATCGAGATTACACTGTAAATGCATGCTAAAGGCTGCCAGAGCGGTACACATGCCTGGCCTCACTCGCACACACATATCCTGAGCTAACTGTGCGCGCCTGTATGTGTGCGGTACCACTCGTATAGCATATATACTATATACAAATTCTTTGCTGTACAACAACCAAAAAATCGATGCTTTATACTCCCAGTGTCTATGTATATGAATGTGTGTGTGTTGTGTGTGTATACTAGACTACAAGTTCAGTAGGCATTTATACAGTCCTATGTGTGCTCTAACCTCCCTTTCCACTGATTGTGAAATGCTTCACAGCATCACTATATTTGGCACCGATTCTGTGCACCCGGAATATATGCCATACACACTCACTATGTGTGTGTATGTGAGTGAGTGCCACACACACTCACCATAGCATACCAGTGCTCTCATATACTCACGCACTGTGTAATAACTACCAGTGCCCTATCAATGTTGTGAGTGAGTGAGCTGAGCGGGGGGTGGGGAGAGATTTTTATGGTGTAGGCGCTGGCATCAGAAATCTGAAAATATTACGAAACGGATCTCCATTTCCCATACCATAGGCTCGCCCGGCGGTAGCCATTGAAACACACATTTCTTATTAGATATTTTCCCCTCCATTTCCCCCAAAAATCTTGAAAGGCCTTACCCCTCGGTGAGTCGACTATAATGTATGACTTACCCTGGTGTATACGCAGTCTCCAAGCGATAGTGTATGACTTTTTCGGATATATAATGTACTAAATAATAATTTAATATTTTTTATATGTGTTGCAGAATATTATCTATAATTTAGTTAATTCTTATGGCAAATAAATCCGTAGAATATTCTGTAGGTGCAATATATAGGGTGTATAGACTGTAGATTTGCAGAATATACTGTAGTATGAATGTATAGATTTTTGTATGAAACACAGAATATTCTTTATAAATATATATATATGCATATATAGCTAGTATAGACTGTATATGCATGCGAATGGTGTGCATATAAGCTGATGACTAGAAAAATGTAATTTAATTTATTTTCGAGATTTTCATTTTGTCTATAAATTATTATAAAACTTATATAAAAAATATTTTTATTAATATATAGTCGAGATTTGTGCGACACATACCCAGATATTAATGCAAAAAATATCTTATCTATATTTTCAAACTATCATTAATATAGTCTGTGTGTATAGACAATAATTGACAGTTAATATAAACACGAGAATATTCTTTAGCAAAATATTTTAAGAATATTCTGTGTATTGTATTAATGCGTTATCTTATATACAGTGAGTGGATATCCTTATGTGACATATTATATGAATAGTAAAATCAATAGATAAAAACTTAATAACTTTTTATTAAAAATTAATGTACTAATATAATAAAATATTTAAAAATACTTCATAAAGTATTTCATAAATAATTTTTAATAGGTCCAAGTTACTAATTTTTAAAAGGTTTACTAAATAAATGAAAAATAAATTGTTACTATGTTAGAAACAATTTTAATATTAGTTAATACTTATTTAGTAGTTAATAATATTATTAATTTTATTTAAAATTATTATTTTTATATAAAAAAGTTATTTTTAATTTAAAAAATTACACAAATTATTTCATGTATCATTAAAAATAAATTAATAAATTTACTTTTTGTTTTATATTAAATTGACTATTTTGTTGAATAACTTTTTTCAAAATGATATTCAATGAATATTCATATATGAATTAATTATTAAATTAAATACCAATTCTCGACAGTGTTTTGTATTTAATAAATATTTAATAGCAATAAAAAATTAATTATTAATATATTGAATATAGTTTCACGGCTTATAATAATCATTTTATAATATGCTATAAGTTTATAAGACACGGCACCGGCATTAGTGGTGACCCCTATATCTAAGACAATATAAAATATTAATACTTGTATAAGATATATAATAAATATTTTTATATAATAATCAAACATTTGTATAATTATACAGAATAATATTAAAACTTAATATCTATTTGTAATTCATATAAAAATTCATTCACAGAATATTCTGCGAAAGAATATAGATTTAAAACCCATTAAAAGCCATATTTGAAAAAATTATTTTAATGTAGTTATTAACACAGAATATTCCATAGATTATGACCAGAATATAAAGTTATTATGGTGGTACATAAATAATTTTTTAATAATCATTACTATAATTAAAGCGTTTGATTGCATGAAATATATTATTTCGTAAATGAATTGTGAATTTATTTTCTTATATCTAATGAATTTTTGCATATATTATGTATTATATAGTGCTCTCTCTCTCTCTCTCTCTCTCTCTCTCTCTCTAACCTTCATTTGTATGACTATTAAAATAAATTATGAATAAATTTTCTACTACTTTACGCGTAACCTATTTATTATACTATTCCATACTATTGGTATTCAGGTGCAGAAAAGCGCCGGTAGTTTACTATATTCTATAAGTTACACTACGCTATTATGTGGGCGTATAGATTAAAATCAAAATTTTTACTACATTTCCCTACATATCCAGTTCCCATTGATTATTTTCTCTATGAGCTATAGCTATACTTATGACTACAGGCGTAATATGTACATGTACAAAATATGCTACATAATTCATAAAAATCCGATAACTCACTATCCAATAGTAAATATATGTATACATACAGAATATTCTGTGATTAATATACATTTTAATAGCAAATGTACGTTTAACTACTATATGCCCATTGATATAATGTTGTGATTTAAACACACATGTAATATATTTGTCACATGAATAATAAATTAAACAAATCAATTGTACAGTTACTTTTGTGTTTTAATCATTCATGTTTTTGAAAAAACACTTCACATGTATTTGACATATTGTTATGAATCGTATTTAAATACTTGTTATTAATTATATGTTTTATACTTGTTTAAATAACACAATACTACATGTTGTATATTGTGATAATATTTATTTTTAAAAATAATTTCATAATCAATAATATAGAAAAATATAGATTTTTAATAGTAAATCCAGTGATTATTTTTATTATACATTTGTTCGTATTATTTAATGTAGCTAGTTTAAAAAGTTTTAAAATACTTTATTAATATAATGTGTTAAAATATCTAGACAATAAATATATTATATACTTAATATGTAAAGTAATAATACTTGTAATAAACACATAAACACAATATTTAAATATATTTAAACAATTACTAGACATTAATAGACTTTACTTTACAATAACGAGTTAATACAATAATACCCGTAGAGTTAAGGTCTAAATGTGTTTCAATTATTAATAGTATACTAATTATTCTGTAAATTACTTTTCCATTTATATAACACACATATAAAACATAAAATATTTTTTCATTTTTATTACTATTATAGTAACATACGACTGGTTGGGGTTATGTCAGTAAATTATATCTAACGGATAGGTAGGTGCTTAGCATACCTGTGCACTTAAAATTTATACGTGTTATACTGTACTAGTGGTATTATATTAATGGTATACAGTATATGTATATATTTATATGTATTATGTATATATATTTGTGTTACAATTCCCTACTAATCTATATAAGCACGGGTAGTATATTTGACTACCGGTGCTGTTTGTACAGTATAGCAATCCAAGTCATGGCAACCCATTTGATGGACATAAAAAAATTATTTTTTTTGAGATTTTATTTTTTAATATAGCTAGAAAGTTTTTTAGTTTATTTTATTTTGACATCACATGTATTAAACTTGTGATATGTGTGCTCATACTACTCTAAAAAGTTTGCTAGTGTAGTTATTTATTTATAAAAGTTTGTTTATTTTGATAATTTATATAGATATTTGTTCTAGTAATACTTTTAAAGTGCAATTGATTTTAATAATTACAATTATTTATATTAAAGTATGTAATATTCTACCATCAAGGACAATTTTTATGTTTTATATTGTGTAAAGTTTAATAAATAAAAATGTTTTATAATAATATGTGTTTAACATGAATAGCTGCCACAAAAATGTCTGTCCCTTTTATGTATCATAAATGTATAATTGAACTGTCATTTTACGTTTAAAAGCAATTCACAAAATATTTTTCTGTGATATGTATTGAAAGACAACTCAATATTCACTTCAGTTTTGAAGTGAAATACAATTTCTAAAAGTTTTAACACATTTCGAGAGAGAGAGAGAGAAAGAGAGAGAGAGAGAAATTGCAAAATAATTAACATTACTTAAATCGATCCACAATACAAACTTCAAAACAATAATTGTACAAGACAATTTTTAGTTAATTATTAATTTACAGTTTATATTTACTACTAAAATATAATCAATTAATTCTAATATACTTATTATTCTATTAATTGTTCATTTTGTCAAATAATTATTTCATATAGTATATAATTAATAATGTTTAGTCCATATGTAATAAAATATAGTAAGTTATTACTAGTCATATAAAAATTTTAGTAAAAATATATATAAATATATTCAAAAGCCTCTTAAGAATATTCTTTGAATAAACAAATCGATTGCTTTAAGAATATATTGAAAGCCTTTTAAATGTCAAACAGTTTTGCTTTCGGAGTATATATTTGCTCTCAAAAAGACTATTTTTAATGCATTCAAGAATATTCTGTGTATATATTAAATGCAAATGAAATTAAATATTTTATTTGATAATATTTTGCGGTTCTTATATTTAATTTGATAAATCTCTCTCTCTCTCTCTCTCTCTCTCTCTCTAAAAGAGATTATATTATGAAAAATATAATTATATTTAAAACACGATCTAAGTATAAGCCATATAAATATATAATTTAAAATTTAATTTAATATTATATACACCGTAAAATCAAAATCTTATGATATTACACTATTTTTAATAATTTAATTAATTTTGTCTAATGTTATTTTACATTTCTTATCATACCACGAATATTATATTAATAATTATAATTAATTAAATTATTGTCCACATTTTTTGTTCACAAAACCATACAATCATTCATTGAATTAATAATTAGCCAAAAATGCTAATTATGTCCAATATTTTGGTTCAAGAATATTCTGTACGTATTCTCTACTGATTTAAAACTCTTTATATATCCAACTCTCTGTGCAATTGATATAAAATTAATTTAATTTGTTATTTGGTTTTAAAGTTTTAAAACTTAACTCTTAATTTAAAATATTTATTTAATTAACAACAATTTTGTCAATATTATATTGTTTTAAATTTAAATTTATCAATTAAATAAAATTATTATAATAAGTTAGTCTGTTTTAATGTTCTAGATAAAATTTATTTGTGAGGTAAGCTAGATAGATAAATTTACAAAATGGTAGACCAAGAGTGACTGCAATAGATAATCTAGATAAAATAAATTTTTATGAAATAAAGTTTTGATTCAAAATATATATTATTCAACTTTTTCATATTATATCTAAAACTATAAAAATAAAAACAAAGTTTTTCTTTCAATTTTTGTAAAACATTTCGTGTATTAATAAAATATTTATACATTCATATGGGTTATGAAATCTCTCTCTCTCTCTCTCTCTCTCTCATAATATTTTAAAAATATTTTATAAAAAAAAATATTAAATTTATTAACACATTATTATAATAGACATAATAAGGTAGTATAAAATATAATATTTATTATTGCAACAAAAGCATAAAATGTTTATTATTGTATGTTTATAAAGAAATTCAATAAATTAAAAATTGTACAGTGTGTATTTTAGCAAACAATAATATAAAGAAATAGCTGGACAAATAATTTTCGCAAAAACAATTTTGTTTTACAATTAAACAGAATTTTTATTATTTTTATAGCAAGCTTGATTTACATTAAATGGTGCTATTTATGCAGCAAATGCCTTATCGTAAGCTGCTTTCACGCAATCCTATTGGGTTAGAAATAATTATAATTAATGTTTTATTAATTAAAATATTATATCATTATTTTTGTAATATGTTATAACTTATAATATTAAAAATCCTTTTAAAAATATGACTATAGATATACTTCTCTATACTAAAATATGTATAATTTATCAAGTATCATATTTATCAGTTAATAAACTACCTTAAGTTTCAGGAATTAGTTTTTAAAAAATTTTAAATATTTATATTTCGTATTATTAGTTAGGTTTTATCATATTAACACAATTAACTAAGCTAACCTAAAGTAAGCAACCTAACCACTAAACCACCCACACAACATTACACAAATAAAACATTTTCAAAATGCACCAAGCTCACCTTATACGCCTTCTTCTTCTTCTGCCACTCGGCCTTCATCTTCTTGGCCTCCTCGGCCCCCTCGGCCGCCTCGCCCTCCCCTCCCTCTTCATCGCCGTCACCACCCTTTTTATGAGCCTGCCACAATTTCTTCATCTCCTCCATCTTCTTTTTCTGGCACTCCGTGTACTTCTTGCTGCACAGGAACTTGACCACTTTCTTATTTTCCACCTTGGTCACCTTACTCGTCACGTCCTCGGCCTCCTTATCGCAGTCGTCGTTAGCGGCCCCGCACTTAGCCGTCTCCTCACGGAAAGTGTCCAGCTTAGTGTCCACCATATTAGCGTCGGTGCATATATTTTCCGAGTCCTTGCCCAGTTGCATTAGCTCCATGGCCATCCCGGTGCCCATCAACGGGTTCATCATACCGTGCCCGCCCTTCCCGCGTCCACCGCCGCCGTGACCGCCCTTATGGTGACCCCCCTCGTCGGCCGTGACAATGGCCAATGCGCACAGACCTAACAGTGACAGCACCAGTAGTTGTGACATAATTAGTTGTTTTTTGTTGTGTGACTGAGGTATCACAAATAAATTTTGAATTGATCATTTAATTAGTAATGCTCCAATTTATATATTTGTGTTATTTGTGATAAAGCACTGTGTAATAGAGTTATGTCACATAAGTTATGTGTGTATGCAGCTAGGTAAATATAATAGTTGGTGGTGAAATAGTGATACGCATAGAGACTGATGTACCTATTGAACTGACCTTGGTGTCAATTTTGTGGCATACCGTATACAATAAGTGTGTTGTTTAAATAGTTGTTAATTTATGCTCAATTAGTGATATCTCGTAAAATTGTTTTACTATAATGATTTACGTAAAATTACAGTCTGTTTAAATACTAATTGTACTTAATAATTGTCTAAAATTAAAAAATATATTTTTTATTTAAAAGTTATTATTACTATAAATTGTATTAAGTAATTTTTACCTATTACGTAATTCATATTTACTATACATAGTTTATCAAATAATTATATTTATTATAATCACAAAATATAATACAAAATTATATTATAAATAATATTTTTAAAAGCATAATAAAACTTATAAAATAGAAATTATTAAAATAAAACAAAATTTTGTACATAATGAATAAGTATGGTAGTGACTTCTAGCGTAAGCATAATAATATACAGTATATTATACATACAATCTGCTAGTTTATATATCGTTTATAATTAATCGTGTATAGTATACACTATATACACTGTATACAGTATTAATAATTTATATTACAAAAATATTTTATAAATCATAGTGAATGCTTTATTTTAGTAGCATGCAAACTATTTATATGGCGTTTTAAATGTGAGCTAGTTACAAAATTTTTGCCACAATTGTCTACATAATAAATAAACCTCCTATCATTTAAATGTATAAATTTTACATGCCGTTTTAGCTCACAGCCAGTGACAAATGCCTTGTCACAATCACCATGGTCACATTTATAACGCCGTACATTCATATGATACCTCATATGAACGTCTAACTTTGACTTTAGTCTAAACCTTTGGCCGCAATCGTTATAATCGCAAACGTACCGTTTCTCGGCCGAGTGAACCCCTCTATGGGCACGTAGTCTGGCGTTTGATTTAAAACTTTTGCCGCAATTGTCTGCATCGCACGTAAATGTCCTGCGGTTTGAGTGGACGTTGAGTTTATGAGAAGTTAAGCCGTTTTTTGACGAAAAACTCGCCGCACAGTTGCCTCCGTCGCCGTCGCATTTGAATGGCTTTTCGCCGGTATGTGAGCGCCGGTGGATTACGAGGGCGTGCGGACAAGTAAATGTTTTGCCGCAACCGTTATAATCGCACCGATATTTCCCGCGATTCATATGTACGACGAGTTTGTGTTGTTTTAAATGCTCTTTTCGTTTAAACTGTTTGCGACATTCACTCCAATCGCATACATATCTCACGTTTAA